GTAATCCTTATGTAGCTTTTGCAATCATTGCTCAGGGTTATGCAACTGTTATAAAACAAATTCAAGACTCTGTTATCGAACTAAAGGTATAATATAATTTAACAAAAGGATATTGTTTTCGAGACAAAAAAATCTCTTGTTTTCTTTTTAGGTTGTTGAACGTCTTTCAAAATTGCATATATATCTATATGATATGGTTGTAAATGTGATAAATACTCGACAAATATATCATCAATTACAAAATGCTTGTCCAAATTCAAATGAAAAATCTTTTCAACCTATTGTTTCATTATCACCGATAACAAGTGAACGACGTGAACTTGTTAAAAAATGGAATGTATCATTACATTTTATGCTTGATCAACTGCAATCATCAATTACCAATCTTAATACAAGTCTTACGCAACAGATAATCACTAATATTTGTTCTAAGCCAAATTATGCTGTCAAATCAAGTCGATGTACACAAATTGATCAACATGTGCCTGAGTAAGTTTATTGATAAGACAATATTTATATACATAAGAATTATAAATTAAATTAAATTATATTATTCGAGAGGAAATATTAAAAATATGTATAGCTTTAACATAGTTTATTTTTGATAGTCATTATATAAATACAATACATCAAATCACAGATTAACTTGAAAAAGAAAAGCTTACATTTACTGTAAGATTAGTATTTGATAGCTACATAAGTACTTTTTCATATGTTTGAATAATAGACTAAACAAAACTACCACTTGTTAGAGAATATAATGATATTGATTCAAACATAACTATACTTTTCCATCTGTAATTATTATTCAATATATAGTTGAGATTTATCTTTACATTCAAGTTATATTTAACTAAATGACAATCCTACACATAGACAAATTTCACGTAGTGTGATATATAAAGAATAAAAGTAAACTAATTCTAACGACAACTTGTTAAAGTCGTGTATAAAGCTGTATTGACTTTACACCTATCAAGATATTCGATACCTTTACTAGAATAAATTTGAAAGCTTATAATCTTATAATAAATAAATTTTAGAAGGTATTTCGACGTATCTAACGAGGGAACCTTTTCAACTGTCCAATCGCTTTTGAGTTCGAACTCAGTGTGAAAGATAGACCCCAGTGAGGTATGAAAAGGCCCAAAAGGATAAGTGCCCATAGGCCTTCTGTCCAGAGTTATAGGCATTTTACTGGTTTTTTAGCCTATGGCACAGTATATACCAAAAAATCGAATGACAATATTTCGAGCTGAGATTTCGTCCAACGATAGGTCTATGTACCAATAGAATGCCCTGAAAATTTCAGCTCAAAAGAATGTTTCAATCTCGGGATATTAAACTCCCAACAACCGCGCATATCCCGCGAATGATGCTAGAATTTTTTGGCTTTTGGGTGTTCAATATCTCGAGATTGAAACATTCTTTTGAGCTGAAATTTTCAGGGCATTCTATTGGTACATAGACCTATCTTTGGACACAATCTCAGCTCGAAATATTGTCATTCGATTTTTTGGTATATACTGTGCCATAGGCTAAAAATCCAGTAAAATGCCTATAACTCTGGACGGAAGGTCTATGGGCACTTATCCTTTTGGGCCTTTTCATACCTCACTGGGGTCTATCTTTCAAACTGAGTTCGAACTCAAAAGCGATTGGACAGTTGAAAAGGTTCCCTCGTAAGAAGTTAAAAAAAAACAAGTCATGATAAATCTAAATAAAGCCATGCTAAAGCTTTTCAATAAATGATATGTACTAGAGATTCGTGACTTACTATGTCATGTTGCGCCGCGACTGGACAATGCTAAAGTGCTCGATGTCAAGTACCACCGGGTTTGATGATTTTCTTCGTCTCTAAATAATACTATCTTTTTATTAAAAACATGACTAAATCTATAAATATGAGTGATTGTGACGGTATAACCTCGTAAGCAACCGTGTAACATTGTATATGACCATATTTTCACAGTTCATATATCTCAATATTACAATCACATATTTCTGTGACTGTATAAGGAACGGTAAGACTATATATCGAGAAATACGAAACAAAACAGAGACTGAATACGACCTCAGGATTGCATGAAGATAATAAGCAAACGTTTTAATCACTGTAAATGATCGTGTTTCTTTTTGTAGGGATATACAATCGTAATACTAATATATATGATGAACTGCCGTATGTTTCGAAGGACGTTCCCTTACGATTGTACCTTGTTTGAATAGAGTTTGAATAGTTTTTAAAAAACTCATATCTCACAGCACTTTTTAACAAGACATAGGGAATATTCAATAAATCGATCGAGGCTATGTGGCGGATCTCTGATGCGTAATAATGAAACACTAATTCGCGTTCATTATGAGTAATATCAAACCTACTCAATGCCTTTTCTTAGACATGCCGTAGTAATATTATGAGATTTGATCGGCTTCAGAAGACTTTTATAAATTACATTGAATTGATATAAAAAAATATTATTAAATAGAATTCGAAATAAAAATTCTACTCCAATAGAACTATTTAACGTCTTTATATAGTAATCATAAGATGACTCATAAATTCATTTCGTTTTCAATATTAAAATTTTAATTGAATATTTTTCTTTTTTTTTTTTTTTAACAGAAATTTTATGCAATGGCCACTTCCACCATTAGAATCAAGTTTACAAATAACATCAAATTTAACTGCTCAATTAACACATAATCAACTTGATGAATTAAAAAAAAAGATGACACCAATACAACAAATGATTATTTCACTTCGACCAAGGAAAAAAATTTCATTAGCTGAATATATACCTGATTTTGAATATGATAATGAAATTGATATTAATGATAATGATATTCAATCATCATCATTATATGAAACATATGATAGCGAAAATCAAGGATCACTTAGTGAACAAATTTATAAGGAAATTGATGGACAAACTACACGTATGTATTCTAGACATATAATAATTTCTGATCAAGATGAAGCTGTCAGAAACTTAGTACTAATAAGTTCATGTGAAAAGAACTCGTCATTTGACCTAGCTCATATAAGAACAGCTGTTAAGTAGTTTTCATGAGAACATTCTTCCGGTTCATTGAACAAATAGCTTTTATATGTGTCATAAAGAATCTATTATCGACAAAATTTTTTTTTTATTTCTTGTAATTTTTTTAGGTCAATCAACAACGAAAACAAAAGACTATATCAAACAAAATAATATTAATCATTCTCAATCAATGACACATAATATCACATTATATTTATTTATTTTTCTTGTTCTAATCATTCACCAAATTGTATTCACTAACCAATGAATAAGACATCGAATAATGAGCTTGTAAAGCCTTACGTTAGTTTTAAATTACTTTTTTGTTCAATATTTGTACAGTGATAGCATTTATTATGTTATCATCAATACAATATTCCTTGTCTATTTTTGTTTTTTCTTTTCTTTTCTTTTTTTTAAATAATGTCCGGTGTTCTGTTCAATATTTATCCCTTTTTATTATTATCATGAACAGTATAGATAATTTACAAACAATAAAAAAACTCTACTCATTGTTGATGTCGAACTAATACAAAGACTTAAAATTATTTCTTCGATAATTCATAATCGAAAAAAAAATTGAAATCTGCAGTTTTCATTGTCGAATAAATCAATCCAAAAGGTGAATGTCGATATACAGTTAGCGTTTTTCGGCGAGGAGATCCTCTACTTATCAATTCTCTAGGGTATATCTTCATTTTTCACATGTCACTCTTACGTTGTGGTATATATGATTAAATCACATGTGTATAAATTGAAATTTGTGGAACGTGGAAAAGATTCATATTTCGATCGAACATATGACTAATTATCGTTCGACCAGTTGTTGCTTTCTCGCGAAAAGGAAAGTATGAATGAGACACATGCATATCTTCTGAGAAAAATCGCTAGAAAAAAGAATGTGAAATCAAGTCCCAATAGGGATCTGTCACTGACAAAATGATGTCTCTTTGTTTGTCTTTTTCTCATAGTGAAAACTATAAATTTCTATCTTGTGTTAATATGAAAAATATTTACGATGACAATCAAAGAGACATATTTCGATAATAAAAATGTTTGACATTTTTTGAATCATTACATATTCTACAGATCTATTTTGATAAATTTCACACATATATATATATATACATTCACACTGGAAGGATTTTTCAGTCAAATGTCAAAATTCGATTTCTAAAGTTTTTAAAAGCCTTTAATCCCGAACAAATCTTATAAGATGATGAAATTTAACGAAGTTATTCTAATAAAAAAATATTAGTTCTACATATGATTAGTTGATTATATTGAGAAATTTTTTTTTTTACAAAATAAAATTGAATTGTAAAACAAAAAATTAATGTATTATTATATAATATTTTATATTTAATTGTAAAAAATTAAAGTTAAAATCAAATAAGATCAATATTATATGTAATATATTTTAAAGATCATAGTAATCTATGAAATAGAAAATTAGAATTTATCAATATCATAATCAAGATAGAAAGACTTTGAAATAAGATCAAGTCGATAATGTTAATCTTATATGATTATAATCGATGGATTATTGAATGAGTCGATTAGTTTGATCTATAACATTGATTCCTCTCGACAAAACAAAAACTATTATCAATCGTTCGATAGTTCCAGATCAATAGAACAATGTCATGTTGCCCTTATCATTAATATGTAAATACAATTCACACATTATCATTACAAAATTCATTGGTTAGATTCTCAAAAAAAAAAACAAAAAAAATGTCTTTTTTTTTACAGATTTTTGATTGTAATCTTGCATGATTTGGAATTTAATCTATATCTGAGATGAAATTATCGATGATTAATATACATCAAATATTTGGTTTTTCTTTTCTTGTTTGTTATATTGTAATAAAAAAAACAACAATCTAATAGACATATAAATGGAATATGACTTGTTCTATATTTCTCATTCGGATGTTTCTCTTTTTTTTTTCTTTAATCGGATGTTATTTGATTTGAAACATTCGATGATGATGTTGACGATGATGTGAGACGTATACGTTTAACAGCATTAACATGACATGATTTACGTTTTTGTGATGTTATTGTACGTTGATATGGTAGAATTTTTGTTCTATTTTCTTCATTTTCTATAATAACCGGTAGAAGTGCATTTGTTGTTGAAGATATTTTAATAAGTGAATGAATTAAATCACAAAAATGTTTACGAGATTGTAAAAATGTTGAACGTATAAGTGATGAACGACGAAGACTTTCTGTATGACGTGTTGATTGTAATTTGTCAGTAGATATTTGCATTATACGAATACAATAAAATAGGTCATCCATGATTTATTATTTATCTAAAAATAAAATCAAAAGACAAGGTTTATTTATACTATGTGTCATTCTTATGTCGTTGATTCATGTATTCTTACATCATCCATTCATGTCAAAGCTACTGCGCATAGTAATTTCTTTTTTTTCCTACATAGATATGAGTAACAGGGAATGCTGTTCTTTAGTACACATATAACACAAAAAAAACCAGCAACTGACGGTAGTAATAGTGGATGTGCGTCATTACTCTTCTTTTCATTCTGTCTTTCGAAGATGATTTTTCAGTAATAGGAAGCAAAAAGAAAGCTTTCTTCTCGAGCTTTTTCTCTTCATTTTTTTTCTCTTTCCTTCATAGATCAATCGATTATATCGATAGTCACACAGAAAAAAAAAATAACAAAAAAAAGTTATGTAGATTTTTTTTTTTTGCTTCTGTCTTATTTCAATAGGATTCAGTCTATAATAAATTGATTCTGGTTTCTTTTTGCATGTATTTTAAAAATTAATAAATCTATAAGTGTTTCAATTGTGAAAGTGCTGTATGAAGATATAATATTTCATTCTTTCATTTTCTTCTATACTTGAATAGTTTTTACATATTCGAATTGTTGAAATTATTAAAACTAAAAAAAGAAAAAAAAAAAAGAAAGAAAAGAACTTCGATTAATAATTTAATGTATTTAGTCTATCTAAACATTATATAAAATTCAACAAATGTTATTTTAACGAAAGTCTTACTTTCTTGCATGTTATTATGTTGTTAATAATATTTGTATAACATTAATGATAATTAAATATGGTCTTTTTGCCTATTTCAATTCATTACTTTTCTTCTTCTTCTTCTTTCTTTCATTCTCACCTATTTCTGGGCTTCATAGTTGTTGACTATAAGCATTGAGAAACACACATTAAATGATTATTTGAAAACCGCTTTTTTTTCTCTCTCTCTCTCTTATCATAATATTTGGAATCAACACACATACACATCCGTAAAAGTGCTGAATGAATACCTGTTAGGGTTTTTTTCTGTTTCTTCTTCTTCTTCTTCTTCCTTCATATATTCACTTCGAACAAATATATTCTTTGTCTGTCTCAATTTCTGAATCAAACCTATGAGTAGACATTGACAACAATAACAAAAGAAACGAGAGAGAATAAACGATGAGGAGATAAATTCATATTATAGTCAATACACGCACGCACGCACTTCATTGATTATGCACACACCGTCTTTGTCTTCTCAATCAACTACTTGCCATCTTTTTTCTCTCTCTTTCCACACGCATAGTACTTGCTTGTCTCTGTCTTTTTTGCGTGCTTTCCGGATAATTATAAAATTCTAACTCAAAAAAAAAATGAGAAAGAGATAGAAAAAAAAAATTCTCTTCACACCCGTCAAAATTAATATTATTCTAATAAGATAAGAAGAAAATCCTTTGACTTAACATATATAACACAAATAAGATAATAACTGTTAAATTACCTATAAGAATAATAACTCGATTGGTAATAACTAGAATAGAATCGTCCGTTCGTCCGTAAAATGTCAAGCTACTTATCTGACAAAACTCAATATCGATTTTGATAGAGCATGAAACGAACATGGTACGTGTGACATGTACATGAGACAAATAAATACAAATAAGAACGTTGAGTGCACCATATGTTGTATATATATATATATATATATGTGTGTGTGTATAGGAAAAAAAGATTGAATGAATGTTTCAATTTACTTAGTAAATGTCATCATTCAATATTGTCACTCAGAAGAGAGAGAGAGAGAAACATCAAAACAATAACAATACTTATTGCATTCGGATTATTAAAAGTATGTGTGTGTTCTCTCCATCAAAGTAACAATTTTGATTGTTTGATGATGTTAGTAACTTTATACAAGAGCTTTGATGAAGCAATCAACGCATACACGCACTAGATTTGTATATATATAAACAATGTCGTATATAAATAACATTATAATAAAAAATTTAAATACAATAAAACTCAATATCCGGTTATAATAGAAAAATTTTACAAATATTACTAGAATTTATTTAATGTATGTTTCATTACTAAATCTGAAATAAACCATACCAATCATTTGCAATTAAGTTAAAAGAAAACGTATATACACGTAGTGATATATGGCTACGTGTATATGCACAAATCGTTATGGTATGGCATGTATGTGAACGTGTCAGAGACTAAACTCTAGTCGCGTTTACATATATGATAGTTTGTTAATGTACATGCTTAATATTTCTCCGAGCATAAGAAATTACGAATGGTTTCTTTTTTCTGTAGAAAACTTCCATGTTAATATATAGGAAAATTTTTATATTTACACATATAAAATTCGAATTTGTATATCTTTGTTTATAAAACAAATTTCATTATCATTCGATTGTCTGATCTATTTAGATTATAAGTGTATTCAAACTTATGGAACAAATTCTTTTAGACAATTTTATATGCGTATAGCAGAGCAAATTCATTTTAACAAGAGATAAACAATGACATATCAAAGAGAGAAAAAAGAAACTTAAATTCTTGCATGAGCTAACATTTACACTATAAAAATGATAAAATTTTACATATCAACATCGAATCGCTTTCGTAAATACAACTCTTTTAACATTGATATACATGATTCGAGGAAATTCTAATCATCTTTCGAATACATATGAGTAGTATTTCCACATTCCTATGTAATTCATATACCTTGTATAAGGATAAATGTATAGTACATACCAATCATTGCAAACATGACAGTCTTCTGAAAAAAACTTAAAAATTTCTATTTGTATTCATGTGTTTGCAACATGCATCTGTATGTATGTGCTATTGTCCTATATTCATGTGCAAAAAGTAGCTAGCTATTTAAACATTTTCTCTATCAAAGAGAAAAATAAATTCATTTGATTTTTTTTTACAAAAAATACTCTGCGCTATTTATTAATATCCATGATTATTTTGTAATTATATTTAATAAAAATTTCACTATTTCATGTAGCCTCGAAATTCATTTCATTTTTATTTTCTTTCATATT